TTATATTAATCAATGAAGAATTAGGAACAAAAAGTGGGAAATGAAAAAGACTTGCTTGATTAGCAAATTAAATTTAGGATAATGTTAAGTTTAGGATGATACCCGATTATTATCATTTACCAAGCTCAGCTTATGACTTAGCACGATGACTTAGCTTGTTCAACAAAACCATAGATAAAACAAAGCATTATGTGAAATACGACACTAAAGTCATATTGTGTACCATTATGTACATTATTAATTGGAAGATTTCCTGCATAATGAAGCCAATGAAGCCAAAAACAATTATTTTATTACCTGCTTAAAGGCAGGTGACACATGGTCAATTCACCTTTCAGATACAGTGATCACAATATGAGTAATGAATAAAATTAATGCTTAAGTACAGTAGATAGGTTTGGATGATCTTAGGAAGATAATAACTATCTTATTATTCCATGCTGGGAAGCAAAATATTCTTTCAGAACTTACCAGGTGCTTCAAATGCTCTGAAAGTATCATTGGTCAAGGGGAAAAATAGCACTAAAGGAGCAGCTGTGTTTTCTGTGTCTTCAAAAACGTAACACTCCTTCAGGTTGTTTTTGTCTTCCTCACTGACTTCTGTCTTGGGAAATGGGACCCCTAGACCAGAGACGTATTTTGAAAACTGGTCCAGATTCTGTGTGAATAAATTATCAAAAAGTGTCAAAGTCAAGTATAAAAAAATACTAACAAATATAAGTAGATAAACAGAGAATATAAAGATCTGGTGCTACATATTATCTGGTATTATATAGAATTCTTTCATTTTGGCACATCTCTATCAGTATCTAAGATGAACAGACCATTATTACAAAAAGTTTCTAATTTGTGATTCAAATACTAGTATTATCAGCTTTATCAAAACTGGGTCTTAGTTTTGAGTGGTAGTGGTTAAACATATACTATAATGACATATACTAAACATGTCATTGTATACTGAAAATTCTGCTTTATATGAGTTAATGTCTTAGAGTGGATTGTTGATCATAATACAGTATAAACTACAAATACTGCACATGAACTCAGCACCCAAAAAACTACATAAATATTTAGAAACTTGGAAATTGTATGCTAGGATCTGTGCAACATAAATAAAACAAATAGTAACATCATTACTCTCTGGAACATCTTTACTGAAAATCTCAAAAATTTGAATATTTCTCAATATTTTCAAAGATATACAGTCCACAGTGAACACCTGAAATATTTGTACCATTTGTAAAAATAATAATTGATATATATAATCCATATTTAACAGATAGGAAACTGTTAAGGTTACAATATAGTAAGACAAGAAAAACAGATGATGAATTATAATACACTGCTTGCAATCCAGAATTGCAAGGGTTGCAAATCCAATCCCATAGAGCTTTCCAAGCATTGCTTATGACAAAAACCAAGTTCCATAGAAATTCCAACTCATAAAATTCCTACAGGAAAAAAAACCCTATCCTATTTAGAATTAATATACTCTGTGCTAGCCACATTCATCACTAAAATAATTAATCTTTCCCAAAATAAACAAGAATCCAAAGCAATGTAACCATTTTACTTTTAAAAAACTTACATAACTTACGTAATACAATGCTATTTGTAATGCTAATACAAAAGAGGCAAATATATCTCTTGTGTAATTAGAGTGCTCTTGAAATAGCCTGGAGTTCAGAGAGTATTGAAATGCAAAAAATTAAAGGCAGGGTTGTCTCTTACAAAAGTCTGTGCTCCTCCACTATAATTTAAATGTAGAATAACATCCACTCTCCTCTCTGATTTTAAAAGAGGTGGGTAGCTTGTATTGATGAAAAACCCGGTATCCACCAGAGATAAAGGTTGCTCTGCTGTTTCCATTAGAAGGTTCGGTCGAGAGTCCAGCACAGAATCTGAAAAGCAAAGATTTCCTGTCAGCTTTCTCTAGCAAGAATATACAACTTCTCTTGGGCAACTGGCTGCATGTAGCTTTCAAGGAGTGCTCAAAAAATATATTAAAAAAATAACAGGAGTGGTAAGACAATAACTTCATTTTATTTATACTTATACCTTAAAATTCATTGTAGTAAATGCACTTATTTTCCAGCTATGTTTTAAATAATGTTTTCCTCTTTCCATATTTAAAGTAGTAAAAGCTTCTGGAGATCTCCAGAAGATGCACCCCAAGTTTTAAAAAATTAATTGTTTATGGGAAAAGTTTTTATCACCATCACGTGCTTCTGAGCTACCACGTTGCCTACCTGTGTTCTAGAATTTAAATCCATATATGAAATAAATGTTTGAAATAGGTATTCCCTCTCCTCCCTTCCAAATTTCATGTTTACTATCTTTCTTTTGCAGTTCCCAAGTCCTGCAATTTTAAACAACAATATTTCTTAAAGAATAGCATCTTTGGAAGAGGAACACAATACATACATCAGTTATTCTGTCCATTTATTTATTATCAGCATGAAAGCATGTTGTTATTAAAACAAATGGAGCTTGATTAAAGGAGGTACCTCAAGGAGTTGGGCTAGAATCAGTCAACTCAGCAATAGTCCTCTACAGGCCTTAGAGCACTCTTGAAGTATGTAATGTCATAACAGGATCTATAGTATTAGTTACTGTTTGAACAAGTGTCTATGGATTGATTATGCTTAGAACAAATTCTAGATGGCAAGTATCTCTCTTTTCTCTCTATTCCAGCTATCTATAGAATTACAATATTAGTTAGAAAAGGCTTCAATTTTGCTATCTAATTTGAAGGACAAGATGGTACTTTCTGATCTACACCACATCTAAAAGCCAAATGAAATGACATTTTATTTCAGCACTCACAATGAAACACAGTTTTCTAGTACAACTGGCCCTAAAAGAAACCTAATTTAATTTGTTGGTAGGATCCCTGATTGTCTAGGACTGCATTTGAAAAGGATTACCAGAAATGAGATGTAAAAATCTAGATATTTATTTATTTATATATAGCCTCCAGAAGTTGTGAGTACTCCAACACTGGAAGTTTTAAAGAAGAGATTAGACAACCATTTGTCTGAAATGATATAGGGTTTCCTGCCTGAGCAGGGGGTTGGACTAGAAGACTTTCAAGGTCCCTTCCAACTCAATTATTCTATTCTGTTCTTAGATGGCAACAAAGAGATAAATACGAGGGAGATAGGTGTTTCTAAATTTGACAGACACACAAATAAACAAAATGGAAACATTAAACTCCTTACTGAATAGTCATCTGGGTTTGTGTAAACCCAGAAATCTAACCTTAAGAGTTGAGTTCTGAAGCCATGACTTGAACAGAAAATTGTGCCCTGACTAAATCAAATACAATTCAGCAAACATAATTATCTGTCAGCCCAATGGAACTTGTGCATCTATGAATACAGGAAATGGTGTATTACTAAACCACATAATTGATCCATCAGTTGATGATATGGATATTAACCTGTAGAGGTTCTCCAAGATTTTAAGCAAGAATTTGCAGCCATGCCTGGAAATGCCACAGATTGATTTGTGTACTTCTATATCCTAACGATTCTTATATTAATTGAAAGCCCTTCCTTGGAGGACAACTGGATATTTTTACTGATATCAGTTTATTTAATAAATGATATTTCCATTTCATCTTATTGGTATAACTATAGTATATTGTTTGTAAATTAAATCTAGTGTTTAAATTCCAATTATTTATTTTGAAATTTTTTAACCCAACTTTTCAAGTGAAAGAGAGTTAACCAGCAGAATTTTCAATTTTCAATCCTGAAAAATTGGGAAAGGGTTTTGTAGAAAATAAGCATGTAGATATTGTTTTCGAATGTTGTTGATAGCACCTGCTTCTTATATTGAAGACAAATCTAAAATACTAGGGATTTTGTTGTTGTTAAAGTACAAACCAAAAAATTAAAGATGACAGCTACCACAGTGCACTGGGAGCTGCAACTATTTTTTGAATGTGTTGCACATTAAAGCTAGATTATCCATTGTCCTTAGTGAAATGTGTAAAGAAAAGATTATCATTCAGAAGTTTGAAATCAGCTAGCTACATCCTAATTAAGTGTGATACCAAGAACATTTTATAAAGCCAAGAAAAATCACAAATATAAGTTTATTACTGTGCCTTTCCATGCAGAAAAATGGACATTCTTCAAGTATTCATCATGAAACTGAAAACCCCTCAGGAAATTAGGATATTCTGCTATTGTTGGGCGTCCAGTTAAGACATCTCGGAAAGTAGAGGAAAGCTGGCTTGGGTAAGTGAGTAGGCGAGAGTCCAGCTCATGTGGCTTTGAAGGTAGAAGAGAATCATCTGTAAAAGACAGAAAGAACCGTTCATGCCTTTTGAGTCTACTCAGGTTTTTGAATGTGGGCACCAATAAGATCACAGCTTACAGGAGGTCCAACAGCTTATGGCAAAGTTTTGTGCAGAAGGATGGTTTTTAGTGTTCACATGCAAATATTTGTATATTTATTTGCAAAGTCTAGTGGCAAAAAAACATGGAAAGTCATGGATAGATGTGGAGGTGGTTGGGGAGACTATTATTATTATGGTTTTCCAAAGTGACCAGCCAGACTGTGACTTAGTTGTCAAATTCCTGGTAGTTTGCCTATGGCATCCCCCAAAAACAGAGCTTCTAAAATAGCATTACTAGATGAACATGGCTTTTCTAGCAAACATGCAATATGAAGAGAAGAGGTTACCTCATAATCATCTTTAGCATATCCAGTTAAAAGTTGCATGGTCAAAAAGACAAGTTGGGAAAGACTGGCTCACAACCTTGGCAAACCATGGTTTATCACTGGTTGATGAAGGGCATACATTTAAACTGTAATGACTTGGAAATAAAACCCAAGATATATTTGGATAACAACCTTCGCTGCAAAACTATATATCAGTTTCCTTCAATGGAGTTTCCTCTTCCAAGTGTGTTGGGACTTAATTTCCAAAATTCCCTGACTGTATGGAAAGCATCGGGTTGAGAAAAGCTAATTTAAGCAACATATTTTAAACAAGCAATTGTCTTATCTATTCTAGCCATATCTGGAGATAAAAACAAAAGAAAATTTAAAAACATCATTGTGGTTTAGGCCTGAAAAGCACTGGGTATTTCATTCTACTTGTCAAAATAATGGAGACAACTTTGCAAACATTTTCAAACTTATCTAAACTAAAAACAATAACTTCATACAGAAAATATCCCTTCTTACTCGGATGAACTCATTAATTTTAATAAACAATTACAAATTTACAAACCAGGAAAAGCAAGAAGGGAAAAAAGAAAACACCTTACCAATATCTTGTATTCTGTCTCTTGTCCATCTATACCAGAATTCTTCTGAGTCATAAGCTATATTCCAGAAATAGATTAAATCCAAAGAAAATATGCTGCTCCACATACCTGTCAAATAAATTTAAATAATTTTAATAAATGTAAATAAAGTCTTAACTGATAGTAATAATAATAATAATAATAGTAAAGTTGGAAGGGACCTTGAAGGTCATCTAGTCCAACCCCCTGCTCAGGCAGGAAACCCTATACCATTTCGGACAAATGGCTGTCCAGTCTCTTCTTAAAAACTTCCAGTGTTGGAGCATTCACCGCTTCTGGAGGCAGGTTGTTCCACTGGTTAATTGTTCTCACTGTCAGG